ATTTAATACGTTTAAATAAAATAATAAAAATATACTTAACTTTAAATCGGTTCCTCCTGCAGTGAAATTTGGCATGTGATTTGCCCATGTCTTTGTTTACTCACACCCTCATACAAATTAATAGCACATACATGGGGAATACAAACTCACAGGTGTCATTCACTTGCTGATACAATAGGCATCAAACATGCAAGTGATTGGTACATTTGTATATAGCTGGAAATTACGACTTTGTTCTTCGTACTCTTCCTGTTGGAAGTGAGAAATGATGGATTGACATTGTATAATATAGAGTTTTGAAAAAATAAAATCTGATGCCCTATCACATGTTTTTATGTTTGTCAACTGCAATGCTCCTTTAGAACTCTAGCCAGATAATCATATTAATACTGTTGACAGCAAAACATTTTTTTGTTTTGATATCTTGTAATTTACCCAACTCCTCTACAGTGTCTTTTCCTCTTTCAGTCATTAACCTTAATCCAAGATCATGTACACGTCAGAAGTACATACATTTTCCAGATCCATCTGAGAAAGAGCTTTGGCAAGTCACATGTTTTGATGAGGACAAGCTGTCTTCTACATAGAAATTGTATAACAAACAATTTTAAACAAACTTTAACCCAGCATCCCCCTCATCCTGCTGGTGAAATCAATATCTAAACCTGCGTAAGAGAGGAAAGTACAAAGCTCTTCAAACACTTGAGTTTCCATCCTTAAAGTTCATAGTTTGAAAGATCTTTTCTTCGCTAAGGAAAAATGTTTATAGAACACAAGAGCTTCATTAAAAGTGTAATGTTCCTTGACACTTTAGGCACTTTGTACGGTGTTATCACTAATCATTTACAGAATGTTCATATTTAATTGTTTGGGTTATTTTAAGAAAAACGCAGTTATATAGTTACATAGCAATCTAGGTTGAAAAAAGACTCGGTCCATTGAGTTCAATCTTTAAAACACATTATTTATGCTGTTGGTGCAAAATATGGCAACAAAAGGCACAGTTTGAAGTGATAGAAACGTAGAAACATAGAATGTGACGGCTGATAAGAACCATTTGGCCCATCTAATCTGCCCAATTTTCTAAATACTTTCATTAGTCCCTGGCCTTATCTTATAGTTAGGATAGCCTTATGCCTATCCCACGCATGCTTAAACTCCTTTACTGTGTTAACCTCTACCACTTCAGCTGGAAGGCTATTCCATGCATCCACTACCCTCTCAGTAAAGTAATACTTCCTGATATTATTTTTAAACCTTTGCCCCTCTAATTTAAGACTATGTCCTCTTGTTGTGGTAGTTTTTCTTCTTTTAAATATAGTCTCCTCCTTTACTGTGTTGATTCCCTTTATGTATTTAAATGTTTCTATCATATCCCCCCTGTCTCGTCTTTCCTCCAAGCTATACATGTTAAGGTCCTTTAACCTTTCCTGGTAAGTTTTATCCCGCAATCCATGAACCAGTTTAGTAGCCCTTCTCTGAACCCTCTCTAAGGTATCAATATCCTTCTGAAGATACGGTCTCCAGTACTGTGTACAATACTCCAAGTGAGGTCTCACCAGTGTTCTGTACAATGGCATGAGCACTTCCCTCTTTCTACTGCTAATACCTCTATACAACCAAGCATTCTGCTAGCATTTCCTGCTGCTATATTACATTGTCTGCCTACCTTTAAGTCATCAGAAATAATCACCCCTAAATCCTTTTCCTTAGATGTTGAGGTTAGGACTCTATCAAATAACCCTTGGGTTTTTACCTCCAAGATACATTATCTTACACTTATCCACATTAAAAGACACTATAGTCACCTGAACAACTTTAGCTTAATGAAGCAGGTGTATAGAACATGCCCCTCCAGCCTCACTGCTCAATCCTCTGCCATTTAGGAGTTAAATCCCTTTGTTTATGAACCCTAGTCACACCTCCCTGCATGTGACTTGCACAGCCTTCCATAAACACTTCCTGTAAAGAGAGCCCTATTTAGGCTTTCTTTATTGCAAGTTTTGTTTAATTATAATTTTCTTATCCCCTGCTATGTTAATAGCTTGCTAGACCCTGCAAGAGCCACCTGTATGTGATTGAAGTTCAATTTAGAGATTGAGATACAATTATTTAAGGTAAATTACATCTGTCTGAAAGTGAAACCAGTTTCATGCAAGCTCTGCCAGTCATAACCAGAGAAGGTGTGGCTAGGGCTGCATAAACAGAAACAAAGTGATTTAACTCCTAAATTACAGTGAATTGAGCAGTGAAATTGCAGGGGAATGGTTTATACACTAAAACTGCTTTATTTAGCTAAAGTAATTTAGGTGACTGTAGTGTTCATATAAATGTTGCCACAATTATGACCATTTTTCTAGTTTACCTAAATCATTTGCTATTTGGCTTATCCCTCCTGGAACATCAACCCTGTTACATATCTTAGTATCATCAGCAAAAAGACATACCTTACCATCAAGACCTTCTGCAATATCACTAATAAAAATATTAAAGAGAATGGGTCCAAGTACAGATCCCTGAGGTACCCCACTGGTGACAAGTACAAGCTTCGAATATATTCTATTGACTACAACCCTCTGTTGCCTGTCACTCAGCCACTGCCTTACCCATTCAACAATATTGGAATCCAAACTTAAAGATTGCAGTTTATTGATAAGCCTACTATGTGCAACAGTGTCAAAAGCCTTACTGAAATCTAGGTAAGCAATGTCTACTGCACCACCCTGATCTATAATTTTAGTTACCCAATCAAAAAAATCAATAAGATTAGTTTGGCATGATCTCCCTGAAGTAAACCCATGATGGTTAGTTATGTCACAAAAGTGGAAACAAATTATCATTCTTTACTCCATAATGGCAATTAGATGTCTCCTTAAATGAGCAACCTCTTCACATACATGTTCATTATATCATTTAATATTCTGTTTTTCAAACAAAACAGTCAAGCCTCTTTCTAGAAATATATACAACAGTACAGTTAAATGTATACACCCAACAGTGAACACAATAAAATACTTACCGGTCTGTACCAGAGTAGATTGGAACTTCCTTGTGTAACATATTATGATAAGTGCAAGTGTATGAATCAAACACAAACATACACAGTGTACTTGGTATACAACATGTGTTAAAATAGAATAAAAGAGTGAAACAGTGTGCCAATTAATGCTTGGATATCCAAAGGAGAAAGGAATGCAGGAATTGTCAGTTTAAAATCACATTTATTAAATGACTGAGTGATTTTAAATCTCATGGCTTGCTTTTCAGTGCTTAATTTTAGATTTTTAGTCCATTACTTTAATTATTACAAATTTATATTCTGTTGTTTAATAAATGTGATCCCTTATATACATAGTTGTAATCAAAATTATTCAACCCCCGTGGAAAATCAGGTTTATTGTTAATATTTACAGACTTTCAGCTGCTTGGAATAAACAAATCAAACAAAAGCAATTTAAATAGCTCAACACAATTGTGTGCTATGGCTTTGTAATGCTTTATACTACTTCATATGTTGCTTAGCTATGTTGGCACTCTATGTGCTCTGTCGATTAACAGGTAATTTTTCAACATCAAAGAAATACCCACTTTAAAGAGCTCTTTTAAGTATTGCAGAAAAGATTGCTTCTGGAACTCTGCGCACTCAGAGATTATTCCACCTGGTACTGACTTCCAAATCTGCCAGTTTCTCCACGAGGACCCAATGTCCTTTTTCCATCTTCTGAATTTTGTCAACCAATTCCTTGTGTGGCAGGCATAGGTCGTCTGTATGATATAAAACAGAAAAAAAAAAAAAAAACTGAGAATAGTCCCCTGTAAAAGAATAATATCGCCACTCCAAAACATTAAGCAGAAAAATGTTTACTTGGTATAATGTCCTTGGTTGTCAGATAAAAATCCTGAAATTATGAAAATCATGTTATTTTGTTGCAACTGTAGTCTGGAGCTAGCCCACCATGCGATTACTCTGAAATAGTGGAAGTCTCCCCCCGATTCCCCCCTTATTAATTTTGTTATTCATCTCTGCAATATTTGTCTTTAAACCAGTGCCCTAAATTTCACTGCATATTCAATATGGGGTCTTACCATTGATTTATAGAGAGGAAAATTAATATTTTGATCAAGTGAAACAATGCATTTTTAAACATGACACTGGTGGACTTGCCTGCCCAGTCCCCCAATTTTTCAAATCTCTCTGTAGGAAAGTTATATCATATTTAGACGATTATATCTTGCCTAGTTTTGGTTATTTGCAAACACTGACACATGACTTTCAATACCCATTTCAAGATCATTTGTAAACAAATTAGAGATGTGCATCTCCACTTATCAAATCTGAAACTATTCCACTACTCTTTGCACTCTACCTTCAAACCAATGTCTTATCCAAGAACAAGACTTTTTCATACAAACCAACTGATTTCAGCTTACAATGCCGTCCTTGTGGGAGTAGTACTATGCGGGTGTACTATGCCATCCTTGTGGACCCAGTCCACGCCGTCCTATGCACTTACCTGCCTGCTGGCGGGGGATCGCGCTGTGGGTACTTGCCTGGCATCACAGGCAGTCCCCCTGCTGCTGATCCGGCCCTCCTGGGCAAATCTGATCAAGGGGTCTACGCGATCACATGGACGGAATAGCCGTCCACAGCAGTGCCTGCAGGGGGTCTGCCTGGAATTTATATTTTATATATATATATATATATATATATATATAGTTATAATTATACAGATATATAAATATATATCTATATATATATATATATATATATATATATATATATAAAATATAAATTAAATAAATGAAAAAATTAAAAAGGAAGAAAATAATAAAAAATAAATATGTTCATTCTAAGTATACTTTGATATTAATATATGGAAGGCTGGGCCTGGAGTTGTGGGAGGGGCCTGGTTGTTGGAGAGTCTCCTCCTCACTACCGTCTCAGGTCGGGTGATTTGCATACCGTCCGTTCCAGTCCGTGTAAACCGCCATTTACTTACCTATTACCTAGTGGGAACATGTACCTGGTCTGCAGCCCCTGGTCATCTGTCTCATTGCTTCCTGACCCACTAGAGCCTAATCCAGGATTGGCCCCTACTCGAGTGTCAGAACTTGCATTGTGACCCGTGTCGTAAAAAACGTAAGTAAAGAGTCGCAGGCGCACAGCATCATCCTGGGACGGTCCTTTAGTTCCTCCCATTTTGTGCTTCAATGTTCGGTTTTATGTTGGGTCTTTCGTGTCCATACGAACGGTCAGGTTACATACTGCCAGGAGCATGCGCACGAACGCTCCGGTTCGACATACAAATTAACAAAGATTGTACGGTAATTCATGCACTGCATTTCGCTTAGGTTTCATGTTTTAAAATGTTCAGTGATATTCTCAACCTCATTAGCCATCACTAGGACCGTTTGTATATGTTTCAACCCAACGGCCAATGTTAGCATTAATACACACGATTTTCATATGCATAGTTGTTTCTCTATAGCGTTTAGACAGTGTCGACCTCTGTTGTTTAATTTTGATAATGCACATATAGAGTTAAGTTCTGTCACCATGTTAAATTGGTTAAAGAAATACAACACAGTACTGAGTGCTTGGGACTCATTAAAGGGACACTATAGTCACCCAGCCCACTTCAGCTCAATGAAGTGGTCTGGGTGCCAGGTTCCTCTAGGGTTAACCCTGCCTACTGTAAACAAAGCAGTTTCAGAGGGTTTTAGGATTAAGAACACTACCACCATAGGATGTAACAACCCAAAGGTGTGCCGTAAGTTGATTGCAATTCTAAATAAATGTTTGTTAGATCTCATGTTAGTAGTATTTGAAGAAATGGGACGGGAACTGAAAATAACCAAATTTAAAATATCAGACTATGAACTTAAACATACAGTGACATTAACTACTCCTAATTGTGACAGTTTGATACAAAAATTATCTGAAGACTTGGTACGCTTTAAACGCCAGAAGCTTGACAAGGTCCAAGCTGACTACTCAGAGCACAGAGTTTATAAATGGCTCTCTGGAGACAACAACCATCCCAAACAGAGAACATATAGACCCAGAATTAGGAAACTCCTGGGACCAACGATTGACTACAGATCTGGTGAGTCTGCATCAGATTCTGATCATGGAGGATCTGGTAGCATGACATCCACTACTCACCACCGATACAATCAAGTAACCAAGTATCTGTTTTAGACCCAGGCCTGGGCCTGACCAGAGAGCCAGTCCAAACCATGAAGGACACCAGATGTGGCGCAAAAATAGATCAGTTTTTGCCCGGAACAACCCAACAAGGATAGGTCAGAAGGGGAAGGCACACTGGTCAGAGAGGACGACCCCCTCACAGGTGATGAAAGCTCCTATCATTAACCTGTTACAAAGGATGCTAGCATCCACCAAAATGTCAGTACTCTCTAAAGGATTGTCCTTTGTCCCCACCAATAACATTATATACTTTGAATGGGAAGTTGACCAGTACCGTTTTTCATGGAAACTAAGATTGTCGGATTATTTTTAATCTCGTTCCGAACCTACAGAACCCACAGTCACCACTAGGAACCAACAGTTCAGACTATGAAGCACCATTGACCCCCCCATCCACCAATGCATCATTGAAAGTGTTTACTCAAAATCTACAAATTGATAGCCGTAAGGTGATTAAACGTCACCCTAAAATAAGCTCTAACATCTCAAGCCCTGAACGCAAAGTTTTGAATGACCTATCTTCAGACCTATCTATCACTATTAGAACTGCAGTATGTGGATTACCAACATGACATCATGCGGTAACTCTCAGATACATCTACTTATCTGCTCTCTCGCAGAGATTCTACAGATGAATTCAGCAAGACTATTGCTAATACTCTCCACAAGGGTCTAGTGGAAGGTCACCTATCTACTTCAGAATATGAATATTTACTAGAGAAACATCCCAGATGTCCAATTATCTACACATTGCCCAAGGTCCAAAAAGTTCCTGTCCACCCACCTGGATATCCTATTGTTTCGGCCAACGGAGGCCTACTTGAGCCCATTGGCAAATCACTGGGCGAGATATTCAAAGCACCTGTTATGGCACTACCTACATGCGACAAGGATACGGCGATGGTGATTAATGAACTTAAATACACTATTATTCCATCCTTAGGGATATTGTTGGTTGTTATTGATGTGAACAGCTTATACACCGTCATCCAACATACGGAGGGTATCCAGGCCATGAGAGAGGTGTTGGAGAATCATTCAGACCCGGTAAGCCCATCTGTGGATTTCATTCTTGAGCTGTCACTGCTTTGTCTTAAGTTGAATTATTTTACGTTTGAATCCTGGTATTACATCCAATAGACTGGTACATCGATAGGGGTGTCCATGGCCCCCATGTATGCTAACGCCTACATGTACTGATATGAGAGTAAATACATTTTGGACAAATATGGCACTAGTATGCTGAAGTATCTGAGATTTATCGATGATATCCTATTAATTTGGACAGGCAGTGAACATGAACTATGCCACATGATACAAGAATTGAACTCCCTCCCTACCCCGATCAGATTCACCTATAAATACAGCACCACAGCCATTGAATTCCTGGATCTGCAGATATTCATCACTGGGGATTGTCTGGGTTACACACTTTACTCGAAACCATTAGATCGCAATACCATCTTGCATGCTCCAAGCTTTCAACCTAAGAAACTCATAGAATTTCTTCCGATATCTAAATTTGCAAGGGTTCTCCGCAATAATTCAGACCCAACCAGAGTATTGGAACAGGTACAGGTCATGACCAACAAATTCTTACAGAGAGGCTACGCTAATATAATTTTGAAATAGGCTCTTCAGCAGGCATGACAATCAATCACAGATGTAAATCCTTGAGATACCACAGAAGATCGACTCAACTTCCCTGTAGCTTTCCATACTCTAACTCCAGAGATAACTTCTGTGATATGTGACACTTGGGATGTTTTAAAAAAAGACCCTTCACTTCCACAGGTCTTTTGTAACATTCCTATTATGAGCTACAGAAGGGGCAAAAACTTCTGTGACATTCTAATGCACACAGACCAGCACAACCTTATACAACAGGAGCAAACTCCAACTGCAAGAGGATGCTTTCGATGCCTTGGTTGTACGGCCTGCAATTCCATGATTACAGGTAAGATATTCTGCCACCCCCATACAGGGCAATTGTTTTACATTAAACACTGCATTACTTGTACTACAACACATATTGTGCAGCGTATAACCTGCCCCTGTGGGCCTGTATACATTGGCAAGACTTCAAATGATCTTAGTGAGAGAATGCGAGGATACCATTCAACTGTACGAACTGCTTTGAACACTATATCTGCCAATACTCCGGTAGCACGACATTTCCTTGAAACTGGACATTCACTGCCCATGCTATATTTCATGGGGATTGATCATGTCCCATTATCGCCTAGAGGAGGTGACAGGGATGCGTTGCTGTTACAGAGGTAAGTTTATTGGATTTTCACATTGGGGACTCTGGCACCGCATGGACTCAATAAAAAGAATCCCCTCTATTGCTTTCTATCTAGACCAGTGATGGCAAACCTTTTTGAGCCCAAGTGCCCAAACCGCAATACATGCCAACTTTTTTTTCATCAAAGTGCCAACACGGCAATTAAATACTGAATACTGAATGTGAAGAAATTTTATTTTTAGTTATTTTACTTTTTTGCATTCGGTTGCTGTAACTACCCAACACCGACCAGCCCCCTGGCTCATTATCTTCAAAGAGAATAGTCAATTAAGTGCTCTCCCTGTGTGGCCTCCGTTCGTATAGTCGAACGCCACAGGAAGGCAAAAACGGCGGCCATCTTGAAAAAGGAAGCAGCGGGACTTGGTTGTCGAGTGCCTAGAACTAAAATTGGACACTCGACTTCCCGAACACCGGTCAAACTGTACAAACTCCTGCTTCCTTTTCCCGAACAGCCAAGAGAGCACTGTTCGGTAGTTTTGTTTCCACGAACCAGGGGAACAATCGCTAGTGTGAGCCAGGGGGTGCAGTTCGTGCATTTGCTCATTTTTAAAACTTGTCGAAATAGACCGGCCGCACAACCTAAATTAATGGAACTGTTTCTCGTTCGGTCAGAATTAGACTTCCATAAAATATCCAAAACCCCTGAACTGATCTGGGTTATTTTTGGATATGTTGGTCACCCAGATCAGGGCTATCAGTGGATATAACATGTGGGGATTCTATGTGTTTTGGGGTGCTTTTCAAGTTTTGGTTTTTCTACCTGGAGATAATTGAGTTATTACATTATCTGGCTCAATTATCTCACAGGCAGAGAGGAGGGAATTATCTGTTTGTATTGTGAGTGTCACATTTTGTCACTGTATTATTATTATTGGCTGTAACCTTTGTGTCCCTGTCCCCCTCAATGCCCATCTGGGAGTTCTCCTTGCATGGGGACTTGCATAAAAGCCAGTGTGGCACCCGATTAAAATCATTCCTGTTACACCCATCATCTAGTTTTGGCTGATGTTTGGGTACCTGTCTACTTTACTGGGAGAATCTACTCAGGAGACTGTCATTCATATGGAGAATCGTTCGACTCAGCACCTGAACTGCGAGCTATAATCACTCAGGCTCAGGCATTTCGGAAGAAAATAGATGAATGGGTAGCTGTTATACCGTTACACTGAGGTTAAAGTTTAGAAAAAGACAACTCGTACAGTTGTCTGAACTAATTGACATCTTTAGTTTTAAAAGAAGAACACAACAACAGAGTTCAATGATACAAATTTTTGATAATTATATAAATAGATAAAATTAATCTTATATTTATAACTATCTCCAACAAATGCAATACATAAACACAGACTGCTGAACACATTCACACACCGACTGCTTAATACATACACACACTGACACACAGACAGACAGTCCGCTGAATACACACACACAACTGAATACACACTGCTGAATACACACACAAATGCTGCTGAATACACACACACTGCTGAATAGACACACACACAGTCTGCTGAATACACACACACTGCTGAATACACACACATACACTGCTGAATACACCGACTGCTGAATACACACACAGACTGCTGAATACATACAGACTGCTGAATACACACAAACACATACTGCATTGAGGGGTGCAGTGTATGTGTTTGTGTGTAAGGGTGTGGAGTGCTGTGTG